TCCACCAATGTGAGTGCTCAAGATATGAAAATAGGTATTAATTGGGGTTTAAACCCCTACTTATATATAAGAATGGATGGACTAAATTTAATCCCAAATGGATTTAATAAGTGTTGATGTATTAGAGGACTACTCAATAAATGACTTTCAATATAACACATTGATGAAACAAGCATATGGTCATGTATTAACCTCATTACATAAGATGTAAGATTTCTATAACTTAATGAACTATTATACTCTTTCTAATTGTATGAAACTTTATTCACATAGAGGAATTATTTCCTTTGAAAAGGAGAGACTCCCTATAATTTTCTCTCTACATTTACATAATAAGTCTAGATGTGATGAAAAATGAGGTAATGATTCCTAAAATATGGCACAACCATCATAACTATTCACTAAATAGTGAGGGTGGACTTTCCCCATGAACTTGTCAAAGATTCTATTAGAGATTTTAATTAAGAGTGACAAGATATTAGAGCTAGATTCCAAGTGCATAACAATGAGAAAAAGAAGAATATACACATGAAATCCTCTTGATAAGAGCAATTAAAACTTGAAAGAGTTCCTAGGTTTTAAACTCTCTTGGAACAACCATACATGGTGTTTTGCTATAATGACTATTTAGATGGGAGGATTTTTAAATCTAGTGGCATTGTTGCCATGATTGAAGTTAATGGCAAATAGAGATGATTTGATGTTACACAAGTAGAGGATCTATGTATCTATTCTCCAATACTTTTCTTTAATCCCTATGGCAAGGATAAATTTTTTTTGAAAATGAGCTAACACACTTTGTCTTGTATGGAAGATAAAGTAACACACTTCGGCCTTGAGTTAAAGGGTGTTCACATTTCATTTGGAGCTATGAGTTTGAATTATGTTGCAATTGAACACTACTTTGGCACCATAGTCACATTAAAAATGGAGTGCTCTATGGTGAATTTCATGCACCATAGATTGTAACAAGTGGCTTCAAGTCTTGTGATGGAATCAATTGGGAGATAAGAGGCTCAAAAAAGTAGCATTGGGCTTTTGTGATTATAATAGTTGTGCATTTTTTGTGTTATTTTAGTCTTTATAAAACTTTTAACATATATATTTCATCTCCAAATGATTTATTCCTCCCCTTTTCTTTCTTTGTATTGAGAATTCTTTTTAAAAATAATGCTGTCACTATTAACCAGTCCCTTAATTGTAGTAGGCTAGAAATCTTCTAAAAAAGTGTTGAAATCCCTGAATTTGCCGCTCTCAAATCCCATTAATTAAAAGTTGGCCATTGGATCTCTTTCGTTCAACTGCCACTGTCGTTTTGAGTATAATGCTCTCTTTTTGCAAAGAAATGTTAACTGGCAGTTTTCTCTAGGGTGTGAAAGGTTTAGGGTTCTTGGTGGCACGCTCTGTATGGGCAGCACAGCGTTCGCCGCTCTTCCCTCCTCCATTGGCGGCTGCGCCCTTCATCTCGATCTCGTCTCTCCATTGCCATCGCAATACAGGAAGGTCGGCAGCGCCGCTCCAGGTCTGTCTCTAGAAACCCGGAGGACGTGGAGGAGGAGGCGCAGGGGCAGAGGGAATCCGATCAGCTTCCTCATCCCTGCGGCAGCATCCTCGTCTCCGATCCCAGCAGCGCCTGGATTATCGTCCCCGCCGAAGGAGAATTTCAGCTTGGATGCCATAGCATTGCTCCAGTTTTTGCCCTTGAGCAAGACCCTCCCCAAGATTCTTCCCCTCCTCCGGCCGCAAATCCCACGGATTCTCAGCGCCTGGGCCTGCGCCGCGGTGTCGGTGTCGGCGCTCTACGCTTTCGTTCCCCAGGTCGGCCAGCTCTCGAGCCTTTTGGCCGCGGGGGATTTGGTCAGTGTTCGCCGAAAGGCCGCCATGGCGATCTTCCTTATCAGCGCAAAGTCACTGGCACAGTACTGGCAGCAGGCTTTGCTCTGGGAGGTTGCTCTTGGCCTGACTTGCGACGTCAGGTGCCATGTCTTTGAGACGGTGCTGAGAAAAGATATGAGCTACTTTGAAGGGCAGAGTGGAGCTGCCAAAGGTGACATTGCTTACCGGATCACGGCCGAGGCGGATGCTACTGGAGAGACTATCTATGCGTTCTTAAAGGTAGCACTGTTTTTTTTTTTTGTTGTCGTTCGCTCATCTTGGTTTTGTCTTCTAGATGGTTGTCCCGTGTTTCTTACAGCTTGCAGCTATGGCTGGTCGAATGCTTTCACTAAGTCCCGTGCTTTCCTTCGCAACAGTCTCTGTAAGTTTCGAGAGTTTTACCGAGGATCGTCTGTGACGCTTGTTTATGGAGCATTTCTTTTCAGGTAGTGCCGTGTATGTCTGTGGTTATTGCTATTCTAGGGGAACAGCTTCGGGCCTTGTCAAAAAGAGGTCAAGACAGCATCGCGAGATTGTCAGCCTACGTTAATGAGGTTTGTAATTGCGGCCTCTGCTGTCTGCGACTGAGGATACTCGGTTTTTTCAGGTTTTGCCTTCGATGCTAATCGTCAAAGCTTGCGCGGCGGAATCTTACGAAGACGAACGGTTTAAGAGGCTTGCTGTTATTGATCGGCAGGCTCATCTCATGAAGAAGAAGATGAAGGCTTTTATTCCAGAGATTATCACTGGGGCTTACGCAGCAACTGGAGTTGTTCTATTCGCTCTGGGAGCATGGGTTATCTCTAAAGGCAACTTCGACGGGACTGGCATGGTGTCCTTCATCACATCTCTGGTGCTGCTTATTGAGCCTATCCAGGTAGATTTGTTCTTTGACTGTGTTTTGTTTTATCAAAATCTAGAAGTGGTGAATGCAGCAAATTGGAAAAGCGTACAATGAGATGAAACAAGGAGAGCCGGCAGTGGAGCGATTGTTTGACTTGACTGCGTCGTTTCCAAAGGCAAGTTCCTGTCAATCTAAGCAGCGTCACTTACGGTGTTTTGGTGCAGATTCTTGACGAAGAGGCATCTCGTAGGCACTTGAAGAATGTGATCGGCGATGTCGTGTTTGACAACGTATGTTTTAGTTATGGGGCTACATCACCACGGGTTCTGCAGAACATTAATTTTCACGTGTGTGCTGGTGAAACTGTTGCTCTCGTTGGACCATCTGGCGGTGGAAAGACCACACTGGCAAAGTTGCTGCTGCGTTTGTACGAGCCTACGCAAGGTATGAGTGGTGCGTATGAAGGATTTCGCAGTAAACTTTTGACGTAACAGGAAATATTCTAATTGATGGGGAAAATATACAAGGTGTTTCTTTGGAAAGCTTGCGGCAACAAGTCGCGATTGTTCCACAAGAAACTGTAAGATCTTGTTGAACCACTGTGTAACAGATTAATGATCTTTTTATGGGGCAGGCACTCTTTACGGGAACTGTGATGGAAAACATAGCTTATGGGGTGATGCCGAACGACATCGACATGAAAAGAGTGGAACGCGCTGCGACGATGGCCAACGCCGACGAGTTTATCAGGAGATTACCAGATGGTTACGAAACTAATCTCGGCGAGCGGGGCTCAAGCTTAAGTGGAGGCCAGCGCCAGAGGTATGCCATGCTTGTTTCCTTCTTTTACATTTTCTAAGCAGCGGATATGCAGAATAGCTATAGCGCGAGCAATATATCATGGGCCGTCGATCCTCATCCTTGACGAGGCAACATCAGCGCTGGACAACCGGTCCGAAAAGCTTGTGAGGGAAGCGTTGGAACAGCTGATGATTGGCCGGACCGTAAGTTTTTCATCGTGATATCTCATTCGAGTGCTCAGCAAAAGTTTGACGCAGGTGTTCATCATAGCTCACAGGCTGGAGACGGTCCAAAAGGCCGCGAGAATTTTCCTCCTTGACGGTGGCAAGCTGGTGGAGGAAGGAACGCACTCGTCACTCATAGCCCGAGGCGGGCAGTACGCGTCCCTGTTTAGCGCCGGCAGGGACGACGTAAGGCCACAACTAACAGCCAAATGAGCACGACAAGCAGGAGAAAAGGCGATACAAGTTTTGTCCGATCGGTTACAGGTACGATGGCTTGCTTCAATTCAAGCTTAGATTGACTCTAACTGGATTATCGCCTTGCAGAGATGGCAAGAAAGAGTACACTTTTAAAGCTTGTACGATGATTAGCGATGGTGTCACTGTCTCTCGAGACACTTCACGCTGCAAAGACCCACCGCCGCGGTGCGCTGTTACAAGAGTCTCATTGGTAGGTTACCAGATCCATTGACAAAGAACAATCTGGCCAAGAACAATCAGGGCAGCGAAAGAAATATGACTAGTCGGTGATCTTTCTGGAATGCGTAGCGGCATCGGGTATGACCTGTTTGATATTTAGGAAATAAAGGGTCTTTGTCCACAGTGTGGGCTATAGCCTTGGGAAGAACACAGACAAACAAGGGAGAAAGAGTGGTGCTCGTTGATCGCGAAGATACCGAGGTTTGGACGGCGCGGATATAAAAAGCCCCATCGCGCCGTTGGCTTGAGCTCCATTTGCGAGAGAAGAGGGGGGAAGGAAGACGAAGAAGGCGCGCGCGCTCCAAGTTTCTTGGGAGGAAGACTCGATCAATGCGGCTGGGTTTCTGGGCTTAGATCCCATCCAAGGACGCTAGAATGGATTCGATCGATCCGGCAGTGGTGGCGCAGTTCTTCCTGGGGTCCGACAGCGCGCCGGGGAAGAAGCACTACCACTGGCAGTGCAATTGCGCGCTCCACGCGCAGACTGGGCAGTGCGGGCACTCTCCTCCCGCGGGATCAAACAAGGTAGTGCTGGCCAAGAGCGCCAAGAGCAAGAGCGTGATCGCCAAGAGCGCCAGCGCCACGGATCTCGCGCCGGCGGCGTCGCTGCGCGAGAGCAGCCGGCGGCAGGGATCCATGGGGAACCTGCTGGAGCTGCTGGATCCGCGCAGGAGCCACGAGGAGGTCCGGCGCGTCGCAGCAAAGCGAGAGCCACTGTAAAAAACAGACGATCGAAGACGATCGAACTACCTCGTTAGTCGAAGATCGAGAGAAGTCAGTCTATAAATTAGCTTGTAGAGAAACATTTAGTATAGAAGTTTACATAGATGTTCTTCGCGAGCTCTTGGAAGAAAAATAAAAAAAAACTTTCACCACTCCATGTTTGCAATAAAAATCTTCCAACAGACTGGACGATCCTGACACACCGCCCAAGAATTTAATGGCTTTCCTCCAAGATCACGAGAAAGGGGCGTCGTCCCGTTCGTTACTCGTCCTTCTTCGTGTGGGAAAAACAGCGTTGATTCTCGGCGACTTTGCCAAAGCAATGCCCTCGTTGATCTCTTTTTTTGATGGTTTTGTCTTGTCGATGCTCCTGGGCTTCACGGGACAAAGGCTCCAAAGCACGAAGACTCGCACGTTTTCTCTCCTCTTCGATGAACAGCTGTGATGCACTTGCTGACGGAGAGCATATTTTCGCTGGCACCACAAGGAGAGGCTGGTAGTAGAAGTACCATCATGTCCACGAATATAATAGACACCTGGAACCAAAACCTCACTACCTCGAGAAACGGGAAGAGCGAGACGAAACTGTGTAACCTACCTGAGAGAGATTGGACGACTATTTCATGTGCTCCAAGACGCTCCTCGCAATCTCGTCCAGGAAAGATACGAAGCCTGTCCCGGTGGGAGCCCCATTGACGTCTTGCTCCTCTATAAGATGCCTTTCAAACGGTTCCACGTTGTCGAAGCCAGCCCGGATCATGTAGAGCTTAGGTGTCACGCTTCGCTCTTGCTTGAGCTTGTTTATTAATTCCCGGAGAGCGCCTAGAATCATCGAGATCTTTAAAAGTTAAATCTTGGAAAGCACAAAAACTTACTTTTGTGAGGTGGAGGGAATGAGAGCGCTGGGTCTGCGGTGGACGCATAGTAGACAATAAGCAACGTGTAAGCGTCCAGGAAAAAGATCGGGCTTCCACTGGTTATCAGTGCAGCACGGCTGAGCGAGTGTCTTGGGTAAGCTTGCTTATCAGGAGAAGTGTAGGACGATAGAAGCGGATAAACAACTCGTACCAAAGAGCTTGGCTCGAGAGCACTGCAATAAAAAAGGAAAAAGGGTGAGACAATGATGTCAACTATCTTACATTGTACCTGAAAAGGAATTGCAGATACACTCGATAATCGGGATGGACGCCTTCCTCATGAGGCCGCAAAACTGGATTTCGGAGGAAAGCAAAAGCCAGCCTAGGAAGTACTTGTAACGACGGACATTTGGCAAACGAAACGTCTAGCCGAACTGCTGTTGTGGGCTGCCCGAACTGTGCTAGCTTAAGGAGCTCGTTGTATTGCGCAACAAGTATAATCAGCCAGTCTTGTAGTAGCAGTCGTCCTTCCTTGACACCATCCTCCAAAGAAGCGCGAATCGTCTGCGAGACACAACACATTGGAGATCCTCACGCCCGTCAACTAAAACACACCTTATGAGTTAAAATACAGAAGATAGCTTCTGCGTCAGCTCTCTCGTAGAGCTCCTTGTGGTTCCGAGCGATCTCCATTCGTAAAGTGCGTAGCCTCAGCCATCTCTTCGTCGTATATTTTTGCCTGACACAGACCGACTCAGTTCGTGAGGAAAGGACTTACAGTGTATACCTCTTCGGTGTACTCTCGTGCTCCTCGCTCACGGGCTCCAACGTCGTATACTGAAAAGCAACCTGAATAATGGGAGTGTCCGTAAATCTGAAAGCATCAGGATTTTGGGTCATGTGAATTAAAAGCTTTTGTAACAAACCTTTGAAACCCACTAGAATTTCCAAAATCAAAATCATAAGCGTAAGTTGCATGAGGATCGCAACAGATAATATGCTGGACATTTTCATATTGAGGATCAGAAAAGAAGTGGCCATACTGTACGAGTACAAAGTAAGTAGTCAGCGAATCCAGCGCACTGTACTTACTGAGTGAACGGTTTTAAATTCTGGAGAAGTTCTAATGCGTAGTACTCCACTATAGGCACAAGGCCGGCTTAGCATTCGATATCTGAAAAACGAACCCGACAAATAAGAATGCAACGACAAAAATCGAATACATACAAATCTTGGGGCAAAGTTGATTCTTCGGTGTTGGAGTAGAGAAAAAGCGAGCCACCACTCTCCACACTCAGAAACTTCAAAGAGGCCAGATCTGTGTACTCATTGGTGATGGCGAAAATGTCCACGCAAATGCCCACTTGTACAGCCGTCGCTGCCTGTAATGTCACTGATAAGCGTCTGCACACGAGGCTCGGCTATCAGCTTACCAGCTCTCGATAAAAGGGAGTCTGTTCTGCCAAGAGGATCTTGTCGGCATCTTCTCCCTTGCTTGCATACTGCTCTCCGTAGCGTTTCGTGTCTAGCTGACCAGCTCCATAATCAGGCGCTCCAGATATGAAAGAAAATATCCTCGCTGGCGATGCAACACCATTAGTATGTTTGCTTTTGAACACTTGAAGCTCACCAAAAGCATAAGTAGACCCGTGCTCTGTGCCTAGATAACTCAAAAGAGCGTCCATAGCAACGCCAAATCCACGGCCTCCAATGGGAACTCCCTCGGCGGATTGCCCAGCAGCTGTTGCTCTTTCCCACGAGCTAGTCGGCCGGAGAGTCTCTAAAGCAGCAGCAATGTTTTCTTTGTTCGTTTCCACCTGCGAGAAAACGCTTCGACGTCAAAACTAGAAAACAATGGTAAGAGGGGAAACAAACAGTACCGGAGCAAGAAAAGCTTTCAAAGGCATGACATCTTCCAAATCAACAACTATTTTCCCATCCATATCTGCGGGAATTACGACGTGCTTGACGACAGGGACAGCGCCCTGCACATCATAGAGGCCAATCTTATGACTGTACGTTACCAAACCAAACAAGGATCCAGCACGTATAGCTGTGGAATAGAACCGATCATCAACCCAAGAACTGCTACTAACTAGTAGCGAGGATCGTTACCTTCAAGAGCAGCTAGCAAAGAGTTTTTGACAAGATCGAGGAACTCCTCCGACGCTGTGAGATCAGCTCTTTAGATGGCTCTAGAATGAAAAAGAAATAAAAAATTGTGCACCTGATAGATCCACTGCTGCCACATAAACTGGTCTCAAGTTAAGATCCTGGCTGCCCTCCTCTGCAAAGAAAACTCCACTACTCAAATCACACTCGCAATTCTCCCAGGAATCCAGCGATCCATACCTTCCAGCTCCAAATCCACAAAGGACGACCTCAGCTCCTTGGCATCCCGGGCAAACCGATCCGCCGCGTCGCGCGACAGGAAATTCCGCTCGCCGCACAGCACGCACGACCACGCCGATTGATCCACCTCGCACAGGAAATTCATGTACCCCCAGCAGCTGTCGCAGCGGGGCAGCGGCTCCGCGCATTTCACCCGCAACGAAGGCCGCCCCGTCTCGTCCTCGGCGGCGAATGGAGTGAGCGTCGCGCCCCACGGCAAGCCGGATGCCTCCTGCATTTCGGGATTCCCCGGGCAGCGCCCCAGCGCGAGCCTCACAGCCATCGCGATGCGCGATCGCGATCGATCCAACGCAAAAACCCTAGAACCCTAGAATATTTTTACCTTACGAACAAAACTCTCGTTATTATTTACATAGTAAGAACCACCAAAACACTGGGTTTAAAATCTTCTCTTTTGCTTATTAGAGTGTGGCGCTCTCATGTCGACATAACTAAGTGGATTTGCTGGCCCTCGAGCGAAGGGACAGTGCTCTCCTCAATGTTCTAGCAAAGATAAGTTAAAAAAAAAAAACCAAAGGCGCGCGTTAGAACACTCTTGATCAAAGGAGAGATTTTCTTACTTTGGACGGAGCTCTCGCTTCGTCTGTGAGAGACTGAGGAGCAATCTTGCTAGAACCAGTCGTCGTATTATGTACAGCACCTCTGGTGTTGGTGGTGGTGGTGGTGGCAACAGTGTTCTCGCTGCTTTCGTGGCCGGGAGTTTCTCGAGCGATCAAAGCAGCGCTGGGAGTTGTCGTCTCGATCGTAGCAGCGTGATCCTGGTGCTCGGCCGTGCTTGCTGATTGACGAGAAGGATCGGCAGGGTGAGCGAGAGAGGCGGTCGCTCCCGCTTCGTTCTCTTCTTTCTCGACCGAGATGCGTTCGAGAGCTCGGACCATACCGGCGCTCACTTCCCTGGCACGAGCACCAAAATCAGCCATTGTGCTACCATTTCGCATCCTCAATTTGTCCCTAAAGCTTTTTGTTGTTTTAGTGAAAGATTCTTTATACCTGCAACACCATAACAAAGATAAGCTTGTAAGAGAACGAGAAAAATAAAACTTTCAAACGCTCACCTAGAGGACGCAGCAGCCCATCTTGACTTCCAAGACTCCGAGAAGGAGTGAGTTTCAGGAGATCTTCGGTTGCTATCCGCAGTGGAAGCAGCGGTGAAAGAAACGCGTGGGGATCCTCGAGACCTGCCAGAAGTAAAATCAAGTAAAAGGAAATGCAAGGACTTTTAGCATGCGAAAAGGAGCAAAAGCATTTATCACCTCAAGCTGCTTGAATCAACCGATGACGAGCCACTGTCAGGGGTCACAGGCGAGCCATGAAGGGCTGAAGTAGTAACACTCGGAGGCGATGGAGATAAAGAAAGGCTCCCGGCTGGCACCGATACAGCACCGCTGCTGGGAGCATTCCCATGAGCTGGGACGATCACAAACTGTTGCGGCATATTACCATAAGGAGGCCTAACGCTGGCGGCATTTGCATTCCCATCCCTCCTTCCTAATTGTCTTCTACCCATCGTCACAAACGTAAGATGGCGCATCATACGTTCTTCGAAGTCAGAATCATCACCATAAGCTGCTAGCTGCGATTGTGTAAGAGAAGAAAAAAAGTTACAAGCATGAAAAGCTTTGAAGCTTTGATTTAGCTTACCCGATGAAGTTCGTAGCCCTCGGGTGGAAAAACACCTATCCTGCTCTGGCGAATTGCCCTTTCATGCTCCACAGCAGCGAGTAATTCTTGGCTGGAAACGAAGTTCGTTAGAAGAGAAAGCTCTAAAGTGACAGCAAAAGAGTAGAAACTATACCTGTTTGGGTCTTTTAAGCTGAGAGCTTGCCAACACATTGGGCATTCTTTACTTCTTTGAGACCTGCGAGAAACCTCTAAGATAGATAAACGAAGGAAAAGGAGAAAACTTACCACTCTATAATGCACTGGAGGTGATACTCATGCTTGCAACACGTAATCTGCAAAGCGGAGCTAAGAATTCGCATAATTTTGACGACACAATCAATCCATGGCTCGCGACATAGATCGGACCCTAGACAATCCAAGCAAAACAATTCGAGGGGGGCGTACCACAGCCGGATCGGCATCGCCGAAGCTCTCCAAGCAGATACTGCAAGCGTCCTCGCAAGCGTCCTGGACGCCGCCTTCCACAAACGCTGCCGCCGACGAAGCCATCCCCCCGCGCCACAAACCCTAGCGCCACACACCCTTCTCTCTCCCTGTCCACGGGGAGGAGAGAAGTCTCCCTTCCTCGCTTGATAGGATGATCAAAGAAAGAAACTCAAGACCCGGAATAGTTTGCCGCCCTTCCTTTACGAGGTTTGGACGGCGGATGCGCCACACGACCGTCGGAATCTGGATCCGACGGCTAGGAGCAGGCCTGCACGGCAAACAGTTCCAGAACTTTAAGGATCCAACGCCTGTGATTGCGCGAGCTTTCCGTTACGTGATGCATGGAAATAGCCCATGGGCATGCCCATGACACGTGGACGGCCAAGCCCTTTGTGACGTGGATAAAACACGAGTCATTAGATGAGAGCATCCAACGGTGCCTCGCGTCCCTTTCAAGCATTGGGACCGCGGGCATAAAAATACGAATTTTTCGTAGCTCTTCGCGACAATGTTGTCAACACTCCCTATTCGATACTTGCCTGGTTTTGCACGCTGCCGCATAGAAAAAAAACTCGGCCTGGAGAAGAGATGGGAGATAGTGCTTCATTTAATTCGGGAAGACTGCGAAAGCCATAAACAAGTCAATCGATGAAACGTTACAGGCGATTTCTACACAACTCTTTTAAAGGAGTTCCTCCAAAGAGAAAATGCAAGCAAAGCTACGGAAAAGTTTAAAGGAAAAGAATCGAATCACCTTCACTTATGTGTCCTCAACTTGGGAGTAGAATATAAAGCTCGGGAAAGTAGTGGTGATGTCCCTGGAGTATACAAAACAAACCAAAAGTTTGGGAATCACAGCTAGCCGGAAACTTAAAGCTTACTTCAGATACGGGAGGTTCATGTTTTTCAAGAGCGACGGATGGTGCTGAACGAGGCTCCTCCACTCGTCCTTGTCGATTTTGCCGTCGTGCTTCGTGTCGGCCTCCTCGAAGGTCTGTCAATGAAAAAATTTAGAAAGTATGCGAGATTTGAGGCATGTATACGCGCGTGAGAGAATACCTTATCGATAATGTTCTCCACGACTTCGTCGGATAAATTTACACCAGACTCGGCTAGCGTGGCCACGACCATTCGCTTCACCTCCGATCGCTGGATAAAGCCTTCGTGTCGGAAATCATATAGCTGAAATGCAACTTCACAGCAAGGGAAAACGATAAAAACGGCTGACGAACATAAACTCTTAAGTTACTCACAGTCTATCTTTTGATCCACAGGCGCATTCGGATGGAATATCGACAGCGCTCTCGCAAATTCCCCAAAGTCAAGAGCACCATTCCTCTTCACATCAAATAAATCGAACACCTGTAAATGAGCAGTAGACTGTCAAGAAGAAACAAACAAAAAGAAAAACAAAAAAACGGGGAAACACTAGAGTGTCACTTACTCTGTCGGCGAACATACTTTCTTTCCTACTGTTCTTAAACAGCGCCAACTTAAATTCCTCCTGCAAAGATTAGTTTTTTAGTTTACATGATTGAGAAAAATGCGGAAAGAGCGAATAGAAAACTAAGAAACTCGCCTTGTTGATAAGTCCATCGTCCAGAACCGCGCTGCTTATCTTCTTGAAGAGCTCGTATAAAGCCTCGACCTCGCTGACACCGACTGCGAGAAGAAAAAAGAAAGACCATCAGCGAATTCCAACAATGAATCACACACAAGAAAAAGGAAGAAAAAGAAGAACAGAAGCGAGAAATACTACATGTAGAGTCTTCGGCGATCGATTTAAAGTCTTCGACGTCATACTGAAGCTTTTCTTCCTTGGACACACAGCAGCCCATGAAGCAAGCCGAGAGATGATAGAGGTAAGCTAATGCATGGTCAAAGCACCACCACATCATTCTATCTCAATGCGCGCTCGTGGCGGACCTGCATTGGCGCCCAATCCCACGATTCCAGCGTCGATCGAGGGACAGAAGCGCGAGCGAGCGATCGAAATCTCAATACCAAAAAATGCAGCAGAGGTATCGAAAAGAATCGATCTGGGAGTACTCACAATCACCGCAGCTGGGGCGGCAGCATCGCACTGCAGCTCCACTGATGGCGCCCAAAACCCTACCCTAGTGTTTTTTTTGAAAAAAAAAAGGAGAAAAGAAAAAAGGAGAGAAGAGAACCCTAATTTCCCCGTTTTCTAGGGCTTGTGGGATGCCGCGCTTGAGTAGATCCTCGTCGCCATCGCCGCCTCCATCGGGCCGGAAGCGTCGATCGCCGCCCGCTCGGCGCAACAGCAGGCGCTCTCCACACAGGTATCGATTTCTTCGGGGATTTTCTTTCGGGTCGAGCGATTTGAGAAGCTGTCCTCTTTGAATGAATCGTTTGGGGCTGGTCTTTGTGACTAAAGAACTCGTCTTTTACACGAAAACCCGGTGGACGTTTGCGAGTAAACTTCCACTACTGCGAAGAATGGAAAGTACTGGATTTCTAACACTCTTTTGTCTTGTAGAACACCATCTCCCAGAAGATCCAAGCGACGTGCTATAAGCCGAAGCCGCTCTCGCTCACCGAGCTATAGATCTCGTAGCCCCGGCCTTAACAAATCCAGACGAGACAGAGACAGAGACAGAGAAGAAGACCTCGAAAAGAAAAGGTTGGTGTGTTTGCCTCTGGCTCTCAGTACTATGAAGAATTCTTCGTCGCCTGTTAGTAGCTACTGAATCCCAAGTCACTGCTGTGGAGGGCAGTGAGCGGTAAGCGTCCAGGTTCTCGAGAAAGAGAGCAGCCATTGAGATCTTTGAGGACCCCCCCGGTTTGTTAATCATGGTTTTGTACAGTGGAGCTCAACTCTTCTAGGCACGGTGATCCGGCAGCGCAGGACACTTCGGTGCTCTTCACACCGGTTTGGTTGGTTTCTACAAGAGGTGCTGTGGTGATCTTGTGCGTTTTTCCAGCATCGGTCTCTCTTCGAATGGCTGGAAAACGCGTCTCTGCATACTAGTTAAATCGCATTTGGAGTTGCCTGGCTTTGCGTGAAACATCCTAATGGTTCTATATTACTAGGAGACAGCAAGAGGCCGAGCTCAAGCTCATTGAGGAGGAAACCACTCGGAGAGTGGACGAGGCCATCCGGAAACGGGTCCAGGAGGTGCTGGACTCGGACGAAATCCAAAAGGAAATACAGATGAGGATCGACGAAGGCCGCAAGAAGATGATCGAGGACGTGAACGCGCAGCTGGCGAGGGAGCGAGAGGCCGCCTTGAGAGCTACGCGAACGAAAGAGGTGATTGTCTCCTCTCGTTTTTCTTCCTTCCTCTAAAGTTTTCTTCTTTTCCAGGAGCAAGAGCGCAAAGACAAGGAAGATTTGGATCGGATGCTGGAGGAGAACAAGAGGAAAGTGGAGGAAGCACAGAAGCGAGAGGCGGAAGAGCGAGCTCGAAAAGAGGAGGAGCGGTACCGAGAGCTGGAGGCGATCCAGCGGCAAAAGGACGAGATAATGCGGAGGAGAAAGCTGGAAGAGGAGCTGGAGCGAGAGGAGCAAATGAAGATCTTGGGGAAGAAGAACGCACGCCCAAAGCTCTCGTTTGCTCTGGGCCTCAAGGGATAAACAAAGACAAAATTAAGGAACAAAGCTTGACGGCAGGAAATGGGTTTTTGAAAATGACTTGAATTTGACTAACCTTTCATTTGACTTTTTTTACTTTTGTTTGACGTCGTCATTGCATTGGATTCATTGACTTTTGTTTGACTTGCATTGAAAGAGACTTATTTTGACTATCATTGACGTTTTGCTAGTCATCTAGTCAGAATCCATTGGGTCCTCCTCTGCCTCTTGATCTTCAGATTCCTCCCCAACAAACACTGCACTTTGCAATGAAACTCAGAGCCCGTGAATGCAAATAAGGAACCAGACACTGTGCCTTTCCATGTCGTCCTCGAAAGAAGCACCCGCTATCCACTGCATCCGAGAGTGGCGCAATGGCTCTTCCTGCTATAGCAGTGAGCTCGCCAGCGCGTGCTTCTGCTCTTCCATATGTAGTGGTGGAGCAAGTCTATTGTGCCTCTAAAGGCTTGCTTGTCCAGAATGAATTGAGCAACCACCCTTGGCACCCAGCCTGTTTTTTGATACATAGATCTTGCACGCTTACGGAGCTCCTCCTCGTTGGTTCCTCCAGTTACCCGAGAGATGAACTTGCATACTTCCTTCTTTTGGAAGTTGAAGTGATCAGAGAGTGAATGAAAACGAATTTACTCACATAAAATCCTCCAGCCGCGAAGTAATACCTCGCCAATTCTTTCAGTACCAGCTTCCTCAATTTGCTTCCGGCAGATGCACAGAAGATGAGCTTCACGTTCCTTTTCTGGAGTAACAGAAGAAACGTGAAAGCAGATCTCTTGGCATTTCTCGTCTCATTGGTGTCCGTGTCTTCATCATCAAGCACTTTCCATCATAAAGAATTATGTGCAGTCTCGCTCCTCAAATATAAAATCGGTTCAGATCGTATTTTCTTTCAGAATTCAAGTCTTGAAGCATCGCAGGAGCCTCAGGGTCCTTGATGTAGGCCAAAAAATGCAAACAGCGTTTCACGAGAATTCCAAGCAAAGCTTTCACCCGAGAGCAGTAAGAAGCGATGGTTTGAAACATTATATGAATCAGGATCCCTGCAAACGCAACACAGCCATCAATCAGCCCATGCAGCACGAACTCAAGTTATTACCATTCTCTCTCACTCTTTCCAGCTGCATCACCACCGTCTTAGCTTTCAATCCATCCGCCGTGTCACTGGACTGACCCAGTTTAGCAAGAACAAGAATGCAACATGTACTGTGCTAAATACCTCTCCGCTGCATTTCCTCCATGGCTTTCACACTCCGAAGATAAAGGTAAGTAACCGTGGTGATAAGGCTAACAGTTTTCCCGTAGCCCGGGGTTCCTGAAATGTACTTCAGGCCATCTTTTCTGTTGGTGTAGTACAATGGTGCTTCCAAATCTTCCACAGCTTGCCAGTATGTCTACGACCCATGTAGTGAAACGATGCTACTCCGAAATCTGCATCTGCAAGTTCATGCCACAGTTCTAAATCCATCACCTGCATGCCATGTCTCCAAAGAGAAACTCGCATCTCTCCTTGACATCCAAGGAAAAGGTTTCACCTTCCCTCTTCATTAATTGAATTTTTCAAATTTGGTCTTGGTATCTTTTCTTTTTTATCCCATTTGTTATCTTGGATCCAAATTTCTCTGGGCTGACTTTAACCATGCTTGCCTTGCATTCTTGTCCATCAGGACGAAGTGTACCTACACACAGCAAAAAAAATAGAGAGTTAAAGGTCATACAAACATTCATATATTTGTTATGTACTTCTTCAAACCCAGCAGCATTTTCAGATACTGTTCTCAAAGCAATCTCAGCACCTTCATACACAGGGTATCTGCCAAAAAAAAGGAGCATAGCTTTAGCAAAGAAAGATTATAAAGCGAAGAAAAGCGAGAAACTAATGTTCAGCTTTTACCCGTAAATTCCACACGAGATGGCTGGAAATGCAATGCATTTGACGCCTTTCTCTCTCGCAAGCTCGAGTGAGTTGCTGTTAAGAGCAACTGGTCAGGCAAAAAAGCAAAAGATTCTACTTAAGAGATGTTACATACCAGTATGCGTCTCGCAGCAAAGCTGCTGCTTTCATCCTGGTAGATCTGTGATACGTCGGCCCAACCGTGTGGATGATCCGCCGGACAGGCAATCGAAAGGCACTGCGAGCGATCGAAAGAGAAAACTTTTGTCCAAGAAGAGATTGAAACTTACGGCGTTTCTCTAGCTTGTCCCACAGGGCAGCGTGTTCTTGGTGCCACCAGAGGCAATGTTTTGCAGGCTTTGTAAAGATCTGGTCCCGCCGCGTCATGGATCGCTGCAAAGCAAAAGAAAGGATAAGAGAAATTCTGGAAGAACAACACTTCGCAAGGATCCCCACATAATTCTCAAGCTTTTCGAGCTATAGGTGAAAGAACTATAGGTGAAAGAGCTATAGGTGTCTTCATGGATTTATGGACAAAGAGAATCTATGACCAAGAAAAGAAATCCAAAAGACCATGATATAAGAGAAAGAGATCAAGAATCCAGTCCCAGAAAGAAAAGAACGAAGCTTACCTCCATCTACGCCGCCTCCACCAAGCATGAGCTCGTTAGCGGCATTGACGATTGCATCGCTATGGCCATCCTTGAACCAGCGCGTGATATCTCCGCCCTGGATCACCAGCTTGCATGAATCCGTGAGCTCAAACTCCGCCACCTGTCTGGGAGGAGGGATTGTTTTCATCCACGCCGTGGAAAAGTTCATCACCGCCTCCTTCAACTTAGCATCTCTCCTCTCCTCTTTCAGTCGATCTCTTCGTGAATGAGGGAGTACAGATTGATCGACACCGCCGCGATACGAGGGGATCATTACCCCTGTCTTCTCGAAAGTTTTGCTGCTACGCGTCGTGAAGCATGGTTCTTCACAGGCGGCATTTGCAAGCAGAGGAAGATCTCGGCGATGGCGGTCAGGATTTTCAAGTGAGCGATTCTCGTTATTGGCATTTGCTGTTTCTATCTTTTTTGCGCTTTCTTGTGCTTGGCGAAGCTCCTCCCGATCAAAAAGTGAAGACATGATGTTATAACGAAGCACGATTGAGAGGAGCCACTCTTTAAGCGTCTCACGCGGTTTCTCCACCTCAAGCTTATCCTCAAAACCCCAAAAGTCAGCAATAAGCTCCCAATCCCCCAACTCGGCATCCTCAAAGTCTTTCTTTGTTTCCTCCCTCACATCCATGAATTCTTCACCAAAGATGCATCCATCCCATCCATTACCTGACTCCATCTTTTCTTCTCCTTGTTCTTTATTAGGGCGGAATTATAATATACTTTATTATTATTATTATTATTATTATTATTATTATAATAGGGGAATAATAGTTAAAGTTCCAATCTAGCTTAATGCTCTGGAATCCTTCGAGATGAAGTGGAAACACACTTACTACTAGACGAGACGTAGCGCATGAGGAGCTTGAGAGCTTTGCCGCTATCAATCGCTTCTCTCGCTCTCTCGATCGCGGCGAATGGGTCGCTGACTCCGCTGCATCCCAGAAGGTTGTCTACCATGGCAGCGTTGAAGACAATGCGATCGTAAGCCGCGCCTTTGACACCCCTCAGAGCTGTCAAGCCGTGCTCAATGTTGTTCTCTAGCTGCCTCTGGAACACAGCAAGTTATTGAAGTTAGTTATCACAATGCTTACCGGCCTTTCCAGTCTGGGTGTCAGTGTTGATTCAAAGTGAAAGTCTGTAGCGTTTAGAGTTTTGCTGAAAGTTTCACGAAGTATACCTGGAGAGAACTCACAATGCCACATCACTATAGATAAAATATTACCATCAATGTTTTGTGCAGTAACGTTGGAGGTAGAGCTTGGTGGACGAAATCCAGCACAAAAGTTCAATGGATGACCTCTGATGGTGGCATCAGGAGATGGTGATTTTGTCGTCAAAGACAATGCCCCTTCTTCACCCTGCCAAACGGGTGTAGCTGGGCTGAGCCACGATCAAGAAAACGTTTTGCTTACTTTTACTATAAGACCAGCATCAACTCCTCTCCTGCGCATAAGCATCAACAAAGGTTCTTCGTATCCCTGGTGATAAAAACCTGTGACAATTGCTTCCCGGCCAGATGCCTGCCATGCTTTTGCTGAAAAGGATAAAAAATATGGAAACCAAAGCAATACCTTCACGTACCGCTGGACCTTCTCAGTGGTGGCCACGGTTGGTCTCTTTTTTATGTGCTCCCTAATGGCCAGAAGAGAATACCTGCCATCATTGAGAACTATCAGCAACTAAGACGATTTCATGTCCAACCTTACAAGGACTTTCGTGCTTCTCGTTGACTAACGTAAGCAAAACCAACATCCTGCACAAACCATGCCTAAGTAGTGCGTCGATCAGAATGCTATGAGGACGCACCTCAAGAAGACTTGCGGCTTCTGCAGGGGACAGCGTTGTAGCAGCGCCCAACTTGTTGAGCATCTGTTCTTCCGTCACTCCCCACTGTAACAAAGTTCGTCAGAATGCCAGTAGAAGTAGAGCACTCCTACCTTAGGAGGCATGCGATCGACACCATGGAGCAGACAACACTCACCATAGCTCGCTCGCACGGCGGCCACGAACAGGGTGCTCCGGAAGAACCTGGTATTCCCATCATACGGCTCGCCATAGTGAGTCAAAGAGCTCACGTTCGCAACAGGAAGCTCGCCTGGAAGAATGAAACGTCAAAGAAGAAAAACCAAGAAGAGGAACTTTACCAAGCTCGTCGTCGAATGCCATGCAAAACGCTTTGAGCTCCCGGTCTGTCTCCCCATTCATTCGCAGAGCAATCAAGAACGCTGCCACCAACACATCACTGACTTTCGATCCATCGCCATCTTCCCCAAGTGGGAGCAAGTCTCTCAAGATGCCGACGATCTCTTCAAAGCCAAGATGGTCGCCGCGTAGCATCTCCCGGAGAGCACCAACGAGGCGCATCTCCACGGGGCCTCGGCCGACAAAGCTCAAGCCAGAGTGTAGCACATCCTCCATCAGAGTACCGTCGGGATCGGCCACGAAGAGCACGTCGGGGGGCAAGACCTGGACGAGCTGCGGCCAAAACTGCCGCATGGCCTTGCGCTCTCCCTCGCTCCACTGCGTGTCGCGAGGAAACGAGGCCGATCGGATCGCCATCGCGGCGAAGAACGCCCCCAGCTGCGCTCCCGAGACGCGCTCATCGTCGGGAATCTCTTCCCTGGCTGCAAAGAAATGGGAAAATTTTCGCTTTGCCCGGGAAATATTTCGCGCAAACCTGATCGAGCGATCGTTTGCAGCACCTTGAAGGCTTGATCCTCGCCCAGCGGCCGCGTCTGCGTCTGCCCCGTGCACACGCGCCCCTGCGCTTCCAGAACCAGCGGATTTGGAGCTGCCGGTGCTCGATTCTTTGCCGCCAAGGCAGTGGAATGCCGCTGCTCCACCGCCTTGCAGGAGAGCCTAGCTGGTGAATCGCCGGGAGAAGAAGGGGAGGAAGAATGCGCGAGGAGGCGCAGCCCACCCGCTGTACAACAAGCCATTGACAAAGGTTTAGGGCTCCCTTGGCCTGGCGGTAATCGGACGGCCTGGATGAAGTCAAATTAATAATTTATGTTTAGCCTGAATTTTTTGATGGTTTGAGTGGACGGCCTGGATGGTTTGATCGGACGGCCAGTCTGGGTTTGATCGGAAAATGCCCGAAATAGAATAAATCGAGCTCATCGATCGCAATATCCCATTTCTAACCAGAGCGCTCAGAACTAGAATTTCTCAACACGCTGTGGATTCAGACTGTTGAGCTTGACAAAAAATTCTTGTTTAGTTAGGAAATCTAGAAATCGCCGAGAACAAGAAGAGAGAGAGCGCGCGCTCAGAGAAAGCTACCGTTCAACGAGCGCCTCAAGGGCGCCCTCCTACAAGAGGTGTCAGATTGGAGCAAGAAGCTCATCACGAGCAAGAAAGAAGAACCCTAAACGAGGAACCCTAAAAGAGGACGGCTAAAGATGAGCTATTTTTAAAGCATCTGGCATCCCTAATTTTGATATTTGTCCTCCTCTCCATCAATGGTCGAAATCCAGCACAAAAGTTCAATAAATGACCTCTAGGGGATGGTGATTTTGTCATCAAAGGCAATGACCCTTCTTCACCCTGCCAAACGGGTCTAGCCGGGCTGAGCCACAATCAAGAAAACGTTTGCTTACTTTTACTATAAGAGCAGCAGCAACTCCTCTCCAGCATTCTGATCATCGCAGTACTTAGGCAATGGTTTGTGCAGGATATTTCTTACGTTAGTCAACCAGAAGCATGAAAGTCCTTAAAAACATGAAATCGGTCTTAGTTGCTGATAGTCCTCAATGATGGCAGGTATTCTCTTCTGGACATTAGGGAGCACATAAAAAAGAGACCAACCGTGGCCACCACTAAGAAGGTCTAGCGGTATGTGAAGGTATTGCTTTGGTTTTCATAGTTTTCATCCTTTCAAGGCAGACATTTGGCCGGGAAGCAATTGTCACAGGTTTTTATCACCAGGGATACGAAAAACCTTTGTTGATGCTTATGCTTAAGAGAGGAGTTGATGCTGGTCTTATAGTAAAAGTAAGCAAAACGTTTTCTTGATCGTGGCTCAGCCCGGTTAGACCCGTTTGGCAGGGTGAAGAAGGGGCATTGTCTTTGACGACAAAATCACCATCTCCTGATGCCACCATCAGAGGTCATCCATTGAACTTTTGTGCTGGATTTCGTCCACCAAAGCTCCACCTCCAACGTTGCTGCACAAAAACATTGATGGTAATAATTTATCTATAGTGATCAGGGCATTGTGAGTTCTCTCCGGGTATACTTCGTGAAACTTTCAGCAAAACTCTAAATGCTACAGACTTTCACTTCAAATAACTTCAACTTCGATTGTTTCTCTTGTGATAACTAACTTCAATAGCTTGCTGTGCTTCAGAGGCAGCTAGAGAACAACATTGAGCACGGCCTGACAGCTCTGAGGGGTGTCATAGGCGCTGCTTACGATCGCATTGTCTTCAACACTGCCATGGTGGAGCCAGCGACCCATTTGCCGAGATCGAGAGAGCGAGAGAAGCGATTGATAGCGGCAAAGCTCTCAAAGCTCCTCATGCGCTACGTCTCGTCTAGTAGTAAGTGTGTTTCCACTTCATCTCGAAGGATTCGAAGCTACCCTAATAATAATAATAAAGTATATTATAATTCTGCCCTAATAAAGAACAAAGAGATCTTTGGTGAAAAATTCATGGAAGTGAGGGACCTCAAAAGTCTTCAAGCTTATCCTCGAAAGGAAACTTTGATGTGCGGTCCAAAACCAAGGATGCCGAGTTGGGGGATTGGGAGCTTATTGCTGCATCATCGCGCAAACCTGATCGAGCGATCGTTTGCAGCACCTTGAAGGTTTGATCCTCGCTGCCGCGCCTGCGCCTGCGTCTGCCCCCTGCGCTTCCAGAACCAGCGGATTTGGAGCTGCCGGTGCTCGATTCTTCGCCGCCAAGGCAGTGGCCTTGCAGCTGCAAGGCCATTCAAATTAATAATTTAGGTTTAGCCTGAATTTGTTGATGGTTTGATCGGACGGCCTGGATGGGTTTCATCGGCTTCACTTATGCCCCAAATCGAGCTAGAAAGTATCGATCGAGCCCCTGGATTTCATCGCAATCTGCGAGGTTTCTAACCAGAGTGCTCAGAACTAGAATTTCTCAACACGCTGTGGGTTCAGACTGTTGAGCTTGACAAAAAATTCTTGTTTAGTTCATCCCAGCACAGGAAATCTAGAGATCGCCGAGAACAAGAAGAGAGAGAGAGCGCGCGCTCAGAGAAAGCTACCGTTCAACGAGCGCCTCAAGGGCGCCCTCCTACAAGAGGTGTCAGATTGGAGCAAGAAGCTCATCACGGCGCAAGAAAGAAGAACCCTAAACGAAGAACCCTAAAAGAGGACGGCTAAAGATGAGCTATTTTTAAAGCATCTGGCATCCCTAATTTTGATATTTGACTATGGCGCTCTTCCTCGCCCTCTTTCTCGGAGCTTCTCTCCTCTCCTCTGCTAGGGCTCATGGCGATCACAAGGAGAATGCAGCGCAATGCCGCGGCCCGGCGTCGAATCTGGCAGTCGTCTCCGCGGAATACATTCCCGGGAAGATCACTGTGGATGGAGCTGCCGCCGATTGGGATGCGGTGGAAGGGATCCAGTTCTCGCTGTACCCGGCGTTGGATCCAGCGTCGGGCGATCCTTATCCAGGCAAGATGACCGTCAAGGTAAACGAGTGATTGGCAAATTGGACTGGAATTTCATCGTGGAGGCCACACAGGCTGCTCACGATGGTCGCGATCTCTTCTTTCTTCTGAAAATCCCAGGGAGCTATCAGTACAAGCAGAGGTCAGCGCTCTTTTATTTTCTTCTTCTTCTTCGTTTCTATCATGTGAATCTCTTTTCTTTCCTTTCTACAGTGTAAAACGCGCAAGTCCTTCGGTAGCTCTCATGTTTCCCATCGGTGATGACGCGACTTACGTCGATGTCAGTCGAGAAAACCATCTCTCTTTTTGCTTCACTTCACTTCTATGATCATCTGCAGATGGGAGGTTGCTCAGAGAGCTTGAATTGCTCGAAACAAAGCTGTGGAGGTCACGAAGTGGATATAATGCATTTCTCCATTAGCGATGCCGTCCCTGGTCGGAGCTATGGCGCAAACCTTGCGGACAATCTCAATGGAACTGGCCGGGACAGGTACTCGTCTTGTTTCTTTCCCTTTTTTTCTTGCCGAGACTTAAGTACTTTCTCGTAGCACTGGAAGCCTTCACGATCTCTACGCTTGGAATCCTCATTGCCGCTATTACGATGGCATCGGTCCAAATGGTTCGTGAATGTTTTGGTAGTCCCACGCTCTTGTAATTCTCTATAGTTTTCTTGTATCTTTGTTTGCAGGACCGGAAGCGAACGGTGGTGCACAAAACGATTGGAAGGGAGTTTGGAGCCATACCAGCATCGAAAACCAATATGGTAATAGCGAAAACCGCGTAGGAAAAAATCATTCTTTTGGACTGTGGCATTAGGATTGACAACTGCGGATAGTCCATACGGAGCATCAGCTAGCGCTGGAAGCTACATTTTCGAGTTCTCGAGACCGTTACAAACGTCAGATCGCCTCCAACAGGTCCTCACTCGATTATCAGTCGCTCTTTTCCTCACAGCTTCTTTTTCTCTCTCTGTCTCTCTTACTGTTTCAAACAGGATGCTCAGTTTAGCATTGGAAAGAGCCACAGATTCGCTTCAGCGTTCTGGTTCCCGGTGAACAACGTGGAATGGAGTCCAATGCAGCACTTCTCGATGAACTGCGAGTGGACTCCTCTGAGAATCGTGGCTGCCGAGAACGAGAGAGCCGAATCGGCCATCCTTGCCACATCCATCAGCACCTTTTCGCTCGTCTTCGCGGTGGGATCGATGCTCGTCTCCGCCGCGATTGCCTGGTGGGTGAAAACTAACAAGCAGGGCCGATTTACACCCATTAGCGACACCTTGTGACAATGATTATGATTTAATATCTTTAAATTCCATATGTATAGAAAAAATCGCAAGATAAAAACGAAGAAGAAGCTCCTGCTAGCTTCCTGAGATTGCACTGGAGCCGAGAACGTAGTCCAAGAAATCCATAAACAAAAATTGCCCTATATAACACTTGAAGCTTAAACTCGAGATCATCCAGGAACACTTCATTTTGGGTGCAACTCTTAAAATCATTTTATTACTCCAAGCTCAAGCAATTTTCGGGCTCAAACATACCCAATTTCTTTCCTCTTAGGGAGTTTCTAGTTATAAATAGCACTTAAAACGTTTCCGAACTGCATAGGCCTCAAGAATAGCGCCATCCATCCTCATACCATACTGCAGAAGAGCAAGATCATGAGACTGTAGAAAAAAGCAAGGAAGACTGACCAGCTTCGCCCGCAGGAGGTCCCTTCGTTTACAAACCTCGACATAATTGGGTATTCGCTCCATCATATACCTGGACCGACACAGAGAAAGGAAAGAATTAGAGAGGGTAATTCGATGGTGTTTTCCCTACATGTTTTCCGCTGCTGCAACAAGATCGTCTCTCGGCCCAGAACGTAGGGCCGAGTAGGACAAGTCAGGGAGGGCCTTGTATACTGGCAGCCGGGTGTTGATCATCCAGCAGTAAGCGTGGTACATGCATGTCTGCACAGGGAAATATATGTGTTACATGTCATTCCAGAACGAGAAACTACTTACTATCAAAGCATGGTCGTGGGGGCTGATGGACTCTGGGGGCCTTGCAGTCAAGAGCAAGCTGGTGAAAGGGCTAGTGTTGATCGCCTGGATCAACTGGGAGAGGGCATGCACGTCGTCAATGCACGTACCGGTTGGCGGCGGGTACGAATGACAGAACTCGGGGACCCGCCTCCACTGGAAGACGTAGCCGCCTGTTTTGTACTCGTGGAGCACATCTCGCAGCAGCCGCAGGAGAACTCGGTCCTTCGTCTTTTTGTAGAGCCGCGTGATGCAGCGCACCGTCTGGCTGCATCGGGAGGGCTGCTCGTAGTGGAAGTAGGCCGAGTCCATGATCCGGTCTAGGATTGGAATGGCTGGGGATGCTTCGAGTTCCTCCAGCTGGGAGGATTGTAAAACCCGAAGAGAAAGCGACGAGATGTAGCGAAGATCCTCGTCGGTGACACCGTTTGTGGGATCGAGCCGAACGTAGAGTTCGCGCTCTTGAAGGCTGTCAAAGAGACGACCACAGTAGAGAAGCTGGATGAGACGGCCCAGCTTGCCCAGTCCGCCCCAATCGAAGAGAAAGTTGGTCTGGCACCTGGACACCAGATAGGCTTCCTCGTCCTCATGCTTCCACGACTCGACAAGAGCCCTAACCAATTTTTTCTTACCGCCCAGCTCCCTCTGGTGGACCATAGCCAAGTCCTTCTGCCGCATCTTTCTCTCCATTTACCCTAACACGAGACACCTATTTATTCTTGTTTCGGTACTTGCCCTTATTTTATCAAATCCCATTTATAGCCTACCTTTTTACTCAGCTTGTGAGAAATTTTATTCTTGTTCCGGTACTTGCCCTTATTTTATCTAATCCCCTTTATAGCCTACCTTTTTACTCAGCTTGTGAGAAATTTTAACTTTTGGCACCTAATTCACATGAACATGACAAATGGGTATCTTTTGGGACAGGTGTATGGCCTCACGCAAATAGGGATGACACGTAACCTCAAACACCTAGAGTAGAGAATTCTTTTGTTTCTCTTATTTTGTAAGTTGGATGTTTTTCAGTATTTGCAAGTCCCCTTTAACACAAGAATTTCATATGACCTCAAAGGATGAGACATTTTAACTTTTTGCACCTATATTTCTGCCCCAACATATCTTGGGACAGATGTCTTGACGTATGGCCACGTAACTTTAATTGACTCAAACACCTAGAGTAGAGAATTTCTAGATTTGAATATTGCTATGGAGCTAGACATGGTTCTCGTGATCCAGCTTCTAGCGACTGGACTTGTGGGCGTGATTGTGTATGCTTTGCTGTGGAAGTTTTGGATCGCTCCAAGTAGAAAAGAGGCTGCTCTGAGGAAGCAGGGGATCAAGGGTCCTTCTCTAGGCCCTCTTCAGCTCTTCAAGGGCGGAAACAAGGACGAGGTGCTCAAGCAGAGGTTCTCCAAGCGGAAATTCACGCTCGAGTTTGATGGAACTCATGATATTCTTTCGCACGTTCTTCCAGACATTCATAGCTTCTCCAAGAAATATGGTACGGTACTATGAACATAGCTAAGTTAAATTCTTTCTTTTCTCTTTGGAAATCCAGGAATGCCGTACATGTACTGGTGGGGGAATGAGCTACGGATGACTGTCACTGATCCTGAGGTGGTAAGATGGGTTTTATCGAAGAATCCACAGTCATTTGGAAAGTCTGCCTCGATCCAAGCCACTCTTGTCAAATTGCTTGGTTACGGTCTCGTTGCTTCAAATGGTGAGCGCTGGGCTCAGCACAGAAGAGTGGTCGGCCCAGCTTTTCAGCTGGAAAAGCTCAAGGTAAAACTTCAGGAAAATAATTATATACTTTTTAACATATTAATTGCAGAATATCATGGCTGGAACCATGGTCGATTGCACCTCTAAAGTGCTGTCCAGATGGGATAACGATGGAGAATTTGAGATTGATGTTGAAAAGGAGTTCTCCTTCCTGGCTGCGGATGTGATCTCCCACACTGCATTTGGAAGCAGCTTTGAGAAGGGCAGAAGGATTTTTCATCTTCTCAACTTGCAAGCTGAGCTTTTGACCAAGATTGCATTCTCACCAATGCAATGGATGCCCTTTGGAAGGTAATATATCACTAGTAATAATTAAACTATGTGATCTTTCAGGTTGCATCCACTGAGGGAAAACCTCCAACTATGGGAAGTCCAAAAGGAGCTCGATGCAATATTGCTTGGTCTCGTCAAAGATCGGCGGAAATCAGCTTCGTATGGGAGAGACTTGCTGGGTCTGATGTTGGAGCAGAGCAAAGATAACCCGGCTTTCAAAGATGACAAACTCGTTGGAGAGTGCAAGACGTTCTACATTGCCGGGCAGGAAACCACGGCCACTCTCTTAACTTGGGCAATGTATTTGCTTTCACAACACCGTGAATGGCAAGACCGCGCCCGCAAAGAAGTTCTTGAGGTTTGTAAAGAGGATGAGATCAATGCCGAGGATCTAAACAAGCTAAAGCTGGTAAGCAAACAAAACTTATCGTAAATTCAATGATCTTGTGATTTTGTTTTCCAGGTTGGAATGATCTTAAACGAAACATTGCGACTCTATCCTCCTTTACCAATCATCCAGCGAGGGACCTTCAATGACACAACCATGGGCGATAAGATCAGCATTCCCAAAGGTATTGTTCTCGTCATTCCAATCCTGGCCATGCACCACGACAAGGAGCAATGGGGTGGCGATGCCCACGAATTCAACCCAGAGCGATTTGCGAGAGGAGCTTCCAAGGCGTGCAAGCATCCCAACGCTTTCATGCCCTTTTCTTTCGGGCCGCGGGTTTGTATCGGGCAGACTTTTGCTCTCATCGAGGCCAAAATTGCACTCGCTATGATTCTTAGGAGGTTTTCTGCAAGCCTCTCACCAAATTATCAGCACTGCCCTGTGTCGGGCGTGACTCTCAAACCACTTCATGGTATGCAACTTACATTCACAAGGCGATAAAATATCAATAAAGGGATTAAAGGGTATTTTATAAATTCATATAAATACAAATATTATATAACTAATATGATTAACTGTTTTACAAATAAGAATAAAATAAAATAAATAAATTTTGCTCTGCTGTTTTGATTTTAATGGGAGCTTATAGTGCCTCACCAGGCAAGCTTGTACCCCAGGTTATAAGGTCATTACCAGCTTTTCGTGGTGGAGTTATCGTGGTGGAGACTTCCCCCAAACCGAGTTGGAGAGGAACTGCCTAGACTAGTGGCAGTCACAAGTTTGCTTTGTTTTTCTTCCAGTTACTCGGTGCTGGGAAGTCTCCATCACTGGAACCTGGTAAAGCTGCTTGGGTTTTGCTCCGAGGGATCAAACAGGCTCCTCGTCTAAGCACATGACGAATGGATCGCTGGACAAGTGGATTTACCAGTCACCTGTAGTCGTCCTTTTCTATCCAGCATAAATGGGATAAGAATATGGGACACGTGCTTGTGCTAGGTGTACTTTTGGACCAAAGCTGGGAAGACCGGCTGTTGAAAACCTTGGATTTTCGCTCTTCAGACAAATTGGAAAAGTCAATTTTCTTTACATGTTAGGGCATCGCAGTACGTTCCAAGAGGTCTTTGCCCCAAACCGTTCGTGGGCTTTGAATCCTTGCCTACGAAAGAAGCCAGCCATGGGCATTGCTATTTGAGTACTCACTTTAACTCTCGTTTCATGTAGGATTGAGCTTGGAAGCATCATTGGAGGAGGTATCTGGTACAATAGAGCTTGTTCTGGAGTATGAAACGATTCGCTTGGTTCTCGAGTTTGATTACAAATTTTGCAAACCAAAAGCCTTCAGTTGCAGCTGGTTTAAAAGAGCCGAGCTGTTTCTCTACTCGAAAATGCACAGCACCTGACTGAAATCTCCTCCTCCACAGGTGTGACAGGTCTGGAAATCGTGTCGAAGCTCTCTTTGGTTCTGCTGGCTCGACCACCAAACGCGTTTTCCTTTATAAAAATATAGCAGCAAACGCTTTATGATTTTAGGATTTTACCTCCGGGAGTCACTGTGGAGTCACTCTCATTTCCCGCCCATTTTTTCAAATCGCTAAATTGAGAGAGAGAGAGAGAGAGAGATACTCAAAGATAAACGTTTTTACCCAGATTTAAACGGCAAGTAGATTCAAACAGGAATATCCGTTAGGGTTTATGCCACTGATCCACGCCTACGCCCGCACGATTCGGCAGTGCGCCGCCAATCTCCCCGACGCGATCTCTCTCCACTCTTGCATTGCGGCGGCCGGATTCGGCACGGATCCAGATCTCGGAGCGCTGCTCATCCAGCTCTACGGCAAGTGCGGCAGCGTCGATCGAGCTCGATCCCTGTTTGAATCGCTGCCCCGGAAGAGCTCTCTGTGCTGGAATTTCGTCATCGGCGCGTACGCGGGCAATGGACGAGGGGAAGAATCGCTGTATCTCTTTCGGCGAATGGCACTCGAGGGAGAGAGGCCCGACCGGCACACGTTTGTTCGAGTTCTTGGAGCTTGCACGAACACGGCTCAAGGTACCGCAATCCATCGCCATATCTCTTCCTCGGGGCTGGAATTTGATCTCATGCTCCAAAATTCTCTCGTGGCGTTGTATGGTAGATACGGGAGGGTCGATCTCGCGAGATCCGTGTTCCAATCCATTCCGGAGAAGAGCCTGGTATCCTGGAACGCGATGCTCACCGCATATGCCCGGAACGGGCATTCGAGAGAAGCCGCTCATGCTTACAACGAGATGATCTTTACCGGCATTGAGCCGAATGAGATCTCGTTTTCCAGCGGTCTCGGGTCCTGCGACGATCTGGAGCTGGGGCGATCAATCCACACGAGAACTCTAGCGGAGTTTCCTGCGATTTTCTTCGAGGCAATGGCGCAAACCTCGATCGTAAGCTTCTACTCGAGGCTTGGTCGTGTGGAGATCGCCAGAGCTTTCTTGGAGGAGACAAAGGTGGCGAGTGTGGCTCCGTGGAACGCTATGATCGCTGGGTATGCCCAGCACGGGCTTGTCAGGGAAGCTCTCGGGGCATACCATTCCATTGACTTGGAGGGGCTAGAGCCGAATCACAGGACTCTCACCACGGTTCTTGGTGCCTGCTCGAGCTCCAGGGACTTGAAAATCGGAAAGATGATCCATTCGCGAGCTGTTTGCTGTGGATTCGACAAGGAAGATCAAGTTCTCCAAGTCGCTGTTGTGAACTTCTATGGGAAATGCGGGGCAGTGGCCGATGCTCGACGAGTTTTTGATGGCATCGCGCAGAAGAGCGTCGTGGTGCATACTGCCATGATTGGTGGATATGCACAACACGGGCATAGCCTCGAGGCACTGGAGATCTACCATGCGATGAACGTTCCGCCCAACAGAGTGACATACTCCACTGTTCTAGCTGCGTGCTCGACTTTGGAGCAAGGAAAGGCGATCCACCAGCGAATTCTTGCAAGTAAGCTCGAGAACACTGGCCTTGTTTTGGAGACTGCTTTGGTGAAGATGTATGCTAGCTTTGACGACTGTGCTTCTGCCAGGGGCGTTTTTGATCGAATGGAGCGGCGAGACTTGGTGGCATGGAACACGATGCTCGGGGGATATGTCCAGAGCGGTCGAGGGAAAGAAGCGCTGGAGCTGTATGAAGATATGAAGATGGATCCCGACTCCACAACTCTGTCGACGCTTCTCGGTGCGTGTTCTTTGCTGGGAGATTTGTCATCCGGTAAGATCTTTCATGAGCTCCTGATCGAGAGAAAGATGATGCAAGCTGACGCGTTCCTCTGCAGCTCGCTGGTGAACATGTACGCCAAGTGTGGGAGCGTCGGGACCGCGAGAGAAGTTTTTCACGCATTCCGAGCTGGTTTTGGCGCATCGTCCGTGCTCTGGAACACAATCCTCGCGGCGCTGGCTCACACCGGAGACTCAAGCCAGAGCCTGGAGTTGCTGCTGGAAATGGAGCTGGAGGGTGTGACCCCGGACTCGACCACTTTCGTGTGTGCTCTCGTGGCCTGCAACCATGCCGGGCTTCTCCAGCGGGGTAAGCTCTTGTTCCAGATCTTGGTGTTGGATCACTCCTCGCGGCCGAGCTTGGAGCACTTCCTGTGCATGGCTGATCTTCTGGGACGAGCAGGGCGCGTGGATTTTGCTCGGGAAGTGGTGGAGGGAATGCCGTTTGAGGCGGATGCTGTGGCTTGGAAGGCGCTGCTGGGATCATCCAGAGGTAGCATCGATCTGGAAAAAGCGGCTTTTGCCGCACAGAGGCTTGTGGAAATGGACGAGGAGCTTGGACAGGCTTTTGTGCTGCTCTCCAATGCTTTCTCCTCGGACTCTCACGTTTTGTAGTTTAAAAGTGAGCGCCATGGACGAGTGGGACAAATAGGATGTTGCATTGCGAGGAGTTGACGAGGAAAATGAGCAAGAGAAACCAAAGCCAGTGGCATCAAAGTCTAAAGAAAATGACTTTGTGGCCAAAGGTGTTCCACAGAGGCGTTCTTCAATCTAAGCTTCCATCATCAATAACTAATCCAAAACCTTGGCGAGCCTTTGAGAAAAGGTAAGTTAAAAAAGCAGTATATAAAGTATATTCTCAACCTTCAAGAGCGCGAACTCTACCTCCGGCTAGTTCCCACAAACGGTGTCACCGACGAGGACCTTCCCTACATCTCGTCGCTTTCTCTTCGGGTTTTACAATCCTCCCAGCTGGAGGAACTCGAAGCATCCCCAGCCATGATGCAGCGCCCCGTCTGGCTGCATCGGGAGGGCTGCTCGTAGTGGAAGTAGGCCGAGCCCATGATCCGGTCTAGGATTGGAACGCGGTTCTACAGGAAGACGAAGGACCGAGTTCTCCTGCGACTGCTGCGAGATGTGCTCCACGAGTACAAGGTAAGTGGCTACGTCTTCCGGTGGAAGGGGTGCGTACCCGGCGCCAACCGGTACGTGCATCGACGACGTGCATGCCCTCTCCCAGTTGATCCACGCGATCAACACTAGCCCTTTTACCAGCTTGCTCTTGACTGCAAGGCCACCAGAGTCCATCAGTCCCCACGACCATGCTTTGATAGTAAGCAGTTTCTCGTTCCAGTGATATGTAGTTAACGCCTTGTGCAGACATGCATGTACCACGGCTACTGCTGGATGATCAACACCCGGCTGCCGGTGTACAAGGCCCTCCCTGACTTGTCATACTCGGCCCTACGTTCTGGGCCGGAAGACCAGATTCTTGTTGCAGCAGCGGAAAACATGTAAGGAAACACCATCGAATTACCCTCTCTAACTCATTCCTTTCTCTGTTGGTCCAGGTATATGATGGAACGAATACCCAATTATGTTGAGGTCTGTAAGCGAATGGAGCTCCTGCAGGCGAAGCTGGTTAGTCTTCCTTACTTTTTCTCCAGTCTGGAGGATGCTATCCTTGAAGCCTATGCACTTCCGAAACGTTATAGGTGCTATTTATAACTTATAGCAGTCTAGAGGTCACACAATACATAGAGGATGTTCCTTATGAGCTTTGTTATCAAATTGGATCAAAGCTATATATATGGTACTAAATTCTAGAAAAAAATTAATGATGTTTTATTGAGATAGATCCTCCTATACCAAATTATCTGCCAGCCATCGATCCTCTCCATGGCCGAAATTGATCTCTTTGTGAATACGAAGTGAAGATTGATCAAAGCCACGATATGTTATCATCTCAGAAGTTTTGCTACTGAACCATGGTTCTTCACAAGCGGCATTTGCAAGCACCGGAAGATCTCGTCGATGGCAGTCGGAAATTTAGTAGGCGACTTGCGCGGTTTCTCCACATCAAGGTTATTTTCAAAACCCCAAAAGTCAGCAATGAACTCTTAGATGCCATCGTTCTATCCATTACCTGGCTTGCTGGACTCCATCTTGTGGCAAAATAATATTTTCCTTGTATAGACATAAACTTCGCATGAGAAAGGTTCTGTTGTGTAGCTTATTGTGTAGCTTATTGTGTAGCTTTCCAGATGAAGTGGAAACACACTTATTACTAGCTGTCTAAGTTTCCTCAACCGGCCTTTCCAGTCTGGGTGTCGGTGTTGGATTCGAAGTGGAAGTCTGTAGCATTTAGTGCCTTGCTGAAAGTTTCGCGAAGTATATCTGGAGAGAAAAACTCGTCAAGATGGCACATACCATCAGTGTTTTGTGCGGCAACGTTGGAAGTAGAGCTTAATGGTCGAAATCCAGCACAAAAGTTCAATAAATGACCTCTAGGGGATGGTGATTTTGTCATCAAAGGCAATGCCCCTTCTTCACCCTGCCAAAGGGGTCTAGCCGGGCTGAGCCACAATCAAGAAAACGTTTGCTTACTTTTACTATAAGAGCCATTGCCGCTATTACGGTCCAAATGGTTCGTGAATGTTTTGGTAGTCCCACGCTCTTGTAATTCTCTATAGTTTTCTTGTATCTTTGTTTGCAGGACCGAAAGCGAACGGTGGTGCACAAAACGATTGGAAGGGAGTTTGGAGCCATACCAGCATCAAAAACCAATATGGTAATAGCGAAAACCGCATAGGAAAAAATCATTTTTTTGGACTGTGGCATTAGGATTGACAACTGCGGATAGTCCATACGGAGCAACAGCTAGTGCTGGAAGTTACATTTTTGAGTTCTCGAGACCATTACAAACGTCAGATCGCCTCCAACAGGTTCTTACTCGATTATCAGTCACTCTTTTCCTCACAGCTTCTCGTTTTCTCTCTCTTTCTTTTACTGTTTCAAACAGGATGCTCAGTTTAGCATTGGAAAGAGCCACAGATTCGCTTCAGCGTTCTGGTTCCCGGTGAACAACGTGGAATGGAGTCCAATGCAGCACTCCTCGATGAACTGCGAGTGGACTCCTCTGAGAATCGTGGCTGCCGAGAACGAGAGAGCCGAATCGGCCATCCTTGCCACATCCATCAGCACCTTTTCGCTCGTCTTCGCGGTGGGATTGATGCTCGTCTCCGCCGCGATTGCCTGGTGGGTGAAAACTAACAAGCAGGGCCGATTTACACCCATTAGCGACACCTTGTGACAATGATTACGATTTAATATCTTTAAAAATATTCTATATGTATATAAAAAATCGCAAGATAAAAACGAAAAAGAAGCTCCTGCTAGCTTCCTGAGATTGCACCGGTGCCGAGAACGTAGTCCAAGAAACTCATAAACAAAAATTGCCCTATATAACACTTGAAGTTTAAACTCGAGATCATCCAGGAACACTTCATTTTGGGTGCAACTCTTAAATCATTTTATTACTCCAAGCTCAAGCAATTTTCGGGCTCAAACATACCCAATTTCTTTCCTCTTAGGGAGTTTCTAGTTATAAAAAGCACTTAAAACGTTTCCGAACTGCATAGGCCTCAAGGATAGCACCATCCATCCTCATACAATACTGCAGAAGAGCAAGATCATGAGACTGTAGAAAAAAGCAAGGAAGACTGACCAGCTTCGCCCGCAGGAGGTCCCTTCGTTTACAGACCTCGACATAATTGGGTATTCGCTCCATCATATACCTGGACCGACACAGAGAAAGGAAAGAATTAGAGAGGGTAATTCGATGGTGTTTTCCCTACATGTTTTCCGCTGCTGCAACAAGATCGTCTCTCGGCCCAGAACGTAGGGCCGAGTAGGACAAGTCAGGGAGGGCCTTGTATACTGGCAGCCGGGTGTTGATCATCCAGCAGTAAGCGTGGTACATGCATGTCTGCACAGGGAAATATATGTGTTACATGTCATTCCAGAACGAGAAACTACTTACTATCAAAGCATGGTCGTGGGGGCTGATGGACTCTGGGGGCCTTGCAGTCAAGAGCAAGCTGGTGAAAGGGCTAGTGTTGATCGCCTGGATCAACTGGGAGAGGGCATGCACGTCGTCCATGCACGTACCGGTTGGCGGCGGGTACGAATGACAGAACTCGGGGACACGCCGTCACTGGAAGACGTAGCCGCCTGTCTTGTACTCGTGGAGCACATCTCGCAGCAGCCGCAGGAGAACTCGGTCCTTCCTCTTCCTGCCGCGTGATGCAGCGCACCATCTGGCTGCATTAGCGGAAGTAGCCCGAGTCCATGATCCGGTCTAGGATTGGAATGGCTGGGGATGCTTCGAGTTCCTCCAGCTGGGAGGATTGTAAAACCCGAAGAGAAAGCGACGAGATGTAGCGAAGATCCTCGTCGGTGACACCGTTTGTGGGATCGAGCCGGACGTAGAGTTCGCGCTCTTGAAGGCTGTCAAAGAGACGACCACAGTAGAGAAGCTGGATGAGACGGCCCAGCTTGCCCAGTCCGCCCCAATCGAAGAGCACCAGATAGGCTTCCACGACTCGACAAGAGCCCTAACCAGTTTTTTCTTTCTGGCCAGATCCCTCTGGTGCGCCATAGCCAAGTCCTTCTGCCACAGCCGCATCTTTCTCTCCATTTACCCTAGCACGAGACACCTATTTATTCTTGTTTCGGTTGAGAATATTGGCCCTTATTTTATCAAATCTCTTTTATAGCCTACCTTTTTACTCAGCTTGTGAGAAATTTTAACTATACTTTTATTTTTAATTCACGTGAACATGACAAATGGGTATCTTTTGGAACATGTATAGACGCACGCAAATAGGAATGACACATAACCTCAAACACCTAGAGTAGAGAATTTCTAGAATTCTTTTGGTTCTCTAAGTTAGATATTTTCCAGTATTTGCAAGCCCCTTTAGCAAAAGAATTTCATGTGATTTCAAAGGATGAGACATTTTAGCTTTTTGCAATACTTTTATTTTAATTCATATTTTATTACATGCTTTTAAAACAGTTGGTTTGAACTCTTGCAAAATGGTTGAACAAAATGTCAGGAATAGCATGTTACCTTAACATTTAAGAGTAGAGAATTTCTAGAGTTGAATATTGCTATGGAACTAGATATGGTTTTCGTGATCCCAGTTCTAGCAACTGGACTTGTGGGTGTGATTGTGTATGCTTTGCTTTGGAAGTTTTGGATCGCTCCAAGTAGAAAAGAGGCTGTTCTGAGGAAGCAGGGGATCAAGGGTCCTTCTCTAGGCCCGCCTCAGCTCTTCAAGGGCGGAAACAAGGACGAGGTGCTCAAGCGGAGGTTCTCCAAGCGGAAATTCACGCTCGAGTTTGATGGAGCTCATGATATTCTTTCGCACGTTCTTCCAGACATTCATAGCTTCTCCAAGAAATATGGTACGGTACTATGAACATAGCTAGGTTAAATTCTTTCTGTTCTCTTCGAAATTCCAGAAATGCCGTACATGTACTGGTGGGGGAATGAGCTACGGATGACTGTCACTGATCCTGAGGTGGTAAGATGGGTTTTATCGAAGAATCCACAGTCATTTGGAAAGTCTGCTTCGATCCAAGCCACTCTTATCAAATTGCTTGGTTACGGTCTCGTTGCTTCAAATGGTGAGCACTGGGCTCAGCACAGAAGAGTGGTCGGCCCAGCTTTTCATCTGGAAAAGCTCAAGGTAAAATTCAGGAAAATAATTGCTTTTCAACATACTTTAATTATTATTTGCAGAATATCATGGCTGGAACCATGGTCGATTGCACCTCTAAAGTGCTGTCCAGATGGGATAACGATGGAGAATTTGAGATTGATGTTGAAAAGGAGTTCTCCTTCCTGGCTGCGGATGTGATCTCCCACACTGCATTTGGAAGCAGCTTTGAGAAGGGCAGAAGGATTTTTCATCTTCTCAACTTGCAAGCTGAGCTTTTGACCAAGATTGCATTCTCACCAATGCAATGGATGCCCTTTGGAAGGTAATATATCACTGGTAATAATTAAACTATGGATCTTTCAGGTTGCATCCACTGAGGGAAAACCTCCAACTATGGGAAGTCCAAAAGGAGCTCGATGCAATATTGCTTGGTCTCGTCAAAGATCGGCGGAAATCAGCTTCGTATGGGAGAGACTTGCTGGGTCTGATGTTGGAGCAGAGCCAAGATAACCCGGCTTTCAAAGATGACAAACTCGTTGGAGAGTGCAAGACGTTCTACATTGCTGGGCAGGAAACCACGGCCACCCTCTTAACTTGGGCAATGTATTTGCTTTCACAACACCGTGAATGGCAAGACCGCGCCCGCAAAGAAGTTCTTGAGGTTTGTAAAGAAGATGAGATCAATGCCGAGGCTCTAAACAAGCTAAAGCTGGTAAGCAAACAAAACTTATCGTAAATTCAATGATCTTGTGATTTTGTTTTCCAGGTTGGAATGATCTTAAACGAAACATTGCGACTCTATCCTCCTATACCAATCATTCAACGAGGGACCTTCAATGACACAACCATGGGCGATAAGATCAGCATTCCCAAAGGTATTGTTCTCGTCATTCCAATCCTGGCCATGCACCACGACAAGGAGCAATGGGGTGGCGATGCCCACGAATTCAACCCAGAGCGATTTGCGAGAGGAGCTTCCAAGGCGTGCAAGCATCCCAATGCCTTCATGCCCTTTTCTTTCGGGCCGCGGGTTTGTATCGGGCAGACTTTTGCTCTCATCGAGGCCAAAATCGCACTCGCTATGATTCTTAGGAGGTTTTCTGCAAGCCTCTCACCAAATTATCAGCACTGCCCTGTGTCGGGCGTGACTCTCAAACCACTTCATGGTATGCAACTTACATTCATAAGGCGATAAAATATCAAGAAAGGGATTAAAGGGTATTTTATAAATTTATATATTAAATCCAAATATTATATAATTAATATGATTAACTGTTTTACAAATAAGAATAAAATAAATAAAATATTTTTTTCCTGCTGTTTTGATTTTAATGGAATAAAACGTATAAAAGCTGGTAATGACCTTATAACCTGGGGTACAAGCTTGTTTCTGCTTGCGGCGAGGCACTATAAGCTCCCCACAAAGAGTTATCATGGTGGAGACTTCCCCCAAACCGAGTTGGAGAGGAACTGCCTAGACTAGTGGCAGTCACAAGTTTGCTTTGTTTTTCTTCCAGTTACTCGGTGCTGGGAAGTCTCCATCACTGGAACCTGGTAAAGCTCCGAGGGATCAAACAGGCTCCTCGTCTAAGCACATGACGAATGGATCGCTGGACAAGTGGATTTACCAGTCACCTGTAGTCGTCCTTTTCTATCCAGCATAAGTGGGATAAGAATATGGGACACGTGCTTGTGCTAGGTGTACTTTTGGACCAAAGCTGAAAGACCCGGCTGTGATAACTGTTGAAAACCTTGGATTTTCGCTCTTCAGACAAATTGGAAAAGTCAATTTTCTTTACATGTTAGGGCACCGCAGTACGTTCCAAGAGGTCTGGCTGCTGGTGTCCCCATGACATTGCCCCAAACCGTTCATGGGCTTTGAATCCTTGCCTAGTACAGAAGCCAGCCATAGGCCTGCTATTTGAGTACTATGTAGGATTGAGCTTGGAAGCATCATTGGAGGAGGTATCTGGTACAATAGAGCTTGTTCTGGAGTATGAAACGATAGTATCTTTCATACTAGCCTTCAAGATATTGAATTTGGGGATTTACAATTGGCTCCCAGAATAAGTATATTATAAATTTTTGTATTTTGTTAACATATATAAATTTACAAAGTTATAGAAAGATTGCTGTTTCAAATATGTTTATAATATAAATTTATATTTAACATATAAACACGAAGACTAAATATATTATGTGAGGGCCAAGTGTACGGCTACGATGCCGTATACTAATATTAGCGTAGTGGATTTTGGTAGCCGTCGGATTGGTTTCAATCCGGACCACTCGCTCCTGTATATAAGCTAGGGTTTTTGGGCTAATTGATATGCACATTTCTATATTCCCTTTCCATATTCCATGCACTCACATTGGTGGAGGTGGTTGAGGGGCACCTTTGATTGTCCCTGGGGAGTGCTTGGATTTGGGATTTCGATTTAGATCTAGCTTTTGCATTGTCTAGATCTAGCTTTTTCCATTTCCTTTCTTTTGTTCTTTCCTTTCAGGATTTTGGTTTAGATCTAGCTTTTTGCATTGTCTAGATCTACCATTTCTTTCCAGCTTTTTGTCATTTCTCTTCTTTTGCTCTTTCTTTTTCATTCATTTTCATGGCTGATCCGCAATCTCCTCCTTTGACTCTAGAGCAGCAGTTGGTTCAATTGCTTGATGCTATGCGCTTGCAATTGAACAACCAAACTCAGTTGATGGCGGCGTTCACGGCACATGGTACAACTCCTCCTGCTTTTGGTGCCAATCCTCGCGTTCGACCGGAGTTCTTTCGTGGGAATCCTGGGGATGATGTGTACCATTGGTTCGATCACTTCACGGTGATTGCCACATATCATTCTTGGGATGATGCTCGACGTTTGCGTGAGTTCCCCACATCCGAGTCAAGCTTTTGACCTCATTCTTGGTATGGATTGGTTGCAGCACAATCATGCCAAGTGTGACTTTGAGGCTTCTCCCCCTTATCTCATACTTCCTTATGTTTCATCCATTCCTCTCACTTCCGTACCTCTTCGTCCCTCTACTTCTACCTCTGCTTCCATTACTTTTGTTCCCCCACTATTTCCTCTTGTGTTTTCATCTTGTTCTGCTCTTCCTTTTTCCGATCCCTCCGATGATCTTTGTGTTGCAGCTGTTGACCAGCTCATGAAGGAGTATTCTGATCTCTTTGAGTTTGACCTATCGTCTGGGGCCAAGATTGCCACACGTCATCCCATTCCAACCGGGGATGCTCGTCCAATCAAGGTTCCTGTTCGTCGTCGGTCACCCAAGGAGATCAAGATTTTACGTGCAAACGTCAAGGAGATGTTGGAGAAGGGTGTTATTCGGAAGTCGCGGAGTCCTTGGGCATGTGAACCTCATCTTATGACGAAGCCTGATGGGAGTATTTGTTTCTGCATCGACTATCGTCC